GGGATGAACTGGAACGGAGATTGCGAGCCAGGCCTTCTCGTCCAAACTCAGGGCCTGACCTCTGAAACGCTCTACTGGATGAATGGGCAAAAACTCCCACAGAAACACTCCAAAATGTTATGGAAAGCCTTCCCAAAAAAATGGAAACTGTTATAGCTGCAAAGGTGGGACAAACTCCAGTGTAATGTCAGTGTATTTAGAATGTGATGTCTTTAAAGTCCCAATACCTTTGTCTATATATATAACTTTTACTCCCAAAAGATCACTGCAGAAAAACCTTCGCTTTAACACATTCAGTTAGCATGTGGTACCTACTTCGGCTACTACTTTCATTGTTTTTCTTTATTTTCAAAATAATGTTAAAAATCAGCAGAGCGCTAATATGCAGAGTTAGTATGTAAAAATTATACGATCAGTTGTGAGTCAGTGAAAAAAAATTGTAAATGAAAATATTATGAAAATTAAACAAGGCTTTCTGTGATTTTGCCATAAACATTTAGACAATGTCCTATAGTATTACACTTTGCAATTCTCATTTGTAATTCAATAGGTAGTGATTCCTGACAAAAGGACAAGCTTAGGAACAAGTTGTTTCATTGTTTCCCTTTGGAAAGACTTTGAAAGGTCAAGGAGAATGTCATTACAATACGAGACGAGACTCTTCTGTTCATTTTATTTAACTCAAATCTTGTCTCCAGGTTCAGAAAGCTGCTCCAGTAATCTGTGTTTAAATGTGTTCCAGTTGTCCGAACTATATCTGCGCCATTTTCCAGACAGAGGCTTTATCAAAGGAGTAGAGGCAGGCTTTAAATTTCAAACCAGAAAGTACAAAACACCTTGTAAATCAGCTACAATGAAAGTCTAAAACCATCACATAAACGATATGCCAACTGAGGTAAGAGAAAACACAGACCTCATGGTCGTTCTTCATAGCTACGCCTACTAATTATCAAGGGAAGGTTTGAGGATGGGAGGGTGTTTCAGGGGAAATGGGCATATGGACTTTCTTTGCATCACTTGCCTCTCAGTCAATTAGAATGATACTAAGAGAAAAAGTCCCCAGCACAGTACATTAGCCGCCAGTGATTTGAACATTTATCACTTTAGGACAACAGGCCACTGCGCTTGCCTGCATAATGGTCCTTACCACTTTAGGGGCCAAGCACAATGCTCATGTGGACATTACCACCTCTGTGCTCATCTAGTTCAGGCAGTGAAAACTTTGGATATTAAAGCCAATAAAAGCATGCATAGGTGACAATGAGTATATCATTAAAGACAATGTGAGCTGGTTAAATATGTTTAGATGAATGTTTTGCCTTGCATAGGGCAATGGAAGCATGCTTCAGAGTAAAACAAAAATATTTCTCTTATTGATGATTTATATATTGATGATGATATTTATTTATATGTATCCACAATTGCTACTTTGTCATAATTTTGACTTTCATAATTAAGACTTTTTTTTTTTAAATGTACACTTTCTCCGAATTGTGACTTTCTCACAATTGCAGTTTTATATCAAACTATTGCAACTATTTCTCACAATTGCAATTTTCTATCTTAGATTTGTTTTCCGGAGTGTAAACACAAAAGTTTCTCAGGGAAAATGTAGGGCTTTCTCGCTCTTGCATTTGCAACTTTATTTCTCATATTTGTGACTATGTTTCATAATGTGACTTTTTTTTATCACACAATTGTGACTATCTCTCTCAGTAGCAACTTATTTTTTACAACTGTAGTTCTGTGTCTCACATTTGCAACTAAATCATAATTGTCTTTACCCTTTGTTTTACTTTTTTTCTCTGAGACACTTAGTGTTTGACTTCTAAATGCAATAAAAAATGTGAACTGTAAGGTTCTTTTGCTTAAAATATAAAAATAAGCAACAAAATACTGAAGCACTAGACTTTACAGTAGCACTTTTCAGACAGCTGTCAGTCATATGCACAGACTTCTCCTGGGTCTGCGTCATTTGGGATCAACAAGCACCACAGCCTTATGATGTGTTATTCATAATGCTGAGAACTGACTAAAACACTTTGACTTGAAAAGTGCCGAGTGGCTTTTAGCTCTGCAGGTCCACTCCTGCCCTGGTCTCCAGCTGTTTTAAAGTCTGCTGACACAGCATGTGATTAACATATATTTGAGAGGTGGAAAATTTCACACCTGAGCTTTTAAACGGCATTTCGCTGTGCCGTATGTGTTCAAAACGAATTTTCTATCAGTGTTGCGGCTTTAGAATGAACTGTGATGTCTCGGGATAAACAGAAACATCATATGATGTATGCCAAAGTACTCAATGACCTCGTTGAATATCAGGACTGTCATGGAACTTTTTCAGCCCTTAAAAGAGAGCTTCCTGGCAACCTCAACCATTTCCTTAAGTAGTAAAAGCTGTCTCCGTGAGATATTAAATTGCCATCTGGCTTAATCACCGATAGGTTTGACTTAAGCCAGTGTTACCAAAATGACATCTGGACACAAAGCAGTTTCATACTGCGATAGTTACTTAAAGGGATAATTCACCCAAAAAAATGTAAAATGTCACCCTTATGTCTTTTTAAACCAGTATGCTGTCAGACTCATTACACTGCTATTTTCCATATGTATGTATGTATATACTGTATATATTTTTTTATTTAATTTAATAAGAATAAAAACAAACCATACATACCATGTGTTTCCTTGTGCAAATCTACTATATAACTTCAGTTGGCTTTTTTAATGGTGCTTTTAAGCTATACTATATGTATACTTCAAATATTTATACATTTTGCTTTTTTTATAAAAATAAATAACATTATACGGGTTTAGAACAACATGAGAGTGACTAAATAATGCAATAATTTTTTTGTTGTTGAGCAAACTACTGTATCCCTTTAAGATGACTAGCATATTTAGACTTGCAGGCAATCAGTCAGACCGCAGACAAAGGCTGTGATTTATCTGGTTGAGCTGTTTCACTTCTTCCTCTATATTTAACTGACTCTTAAATATATACTTCTGAACATCATGTCAGTGGATTCCGTGGGTGAAAAACTGGACGAAACAGTTTTGCCATTCCCCATCCATTTACCCCCTCTAAACATTTTTTTTCTCATCTTGTGCAAAGTCTGTGCCAAAGATGAACTGAAGCATTAACAAGCTCAAATGCTGCTGTTGTGTTTCTCTCACACAAGCCCCAAGCTTACTGGGGCAATACAGCCAAACAAACCTTCTGCCATATTTCACAGCCCCTTGAATTGTCGCAACCCCAGGCAGATCAATAGGTCGGGTGTCAAGATCACACACAGGTTAGTGAATGTGTGAGGTGCCAAACTAACAACTCAGCCTAGAAGGTCATCCTCTATAGACATTTATGGGTAGGTTTAGCCTTTGTATTGTTAGAAAGTGACTACTTTGGTTTGCCCTTTTGGTGAAGCATGCTGTTTTGTCCTTGGTGTCTGAATCAGTATCTACAGATGGTTTGCCAACAAATTAAACATAATTCAAAAAAACAACAACAAAGGCACACTAATTATTAAAAACCAGCAGTTTCATCGTAGAGTATATATATATATATATATATATACACAGTATATGTATGAAATATCCTGATAAATAAAGGCTTTTTAATAAAACTACTGATATTAGGATATCAGAAATTGATGCAAGGAGTGTGTATTTTAAGATGACCTTTTTTCTACAGATTTAAATAACCGTATTTGTAAGATAACTGAATAGCGCATGGGAAATAATTTTCATTATATGGCATAATTCCAGTGGGCATTAGTGCAGTCAGTCAGGATGCGTTAATGACATCTGCTGGTGTGGTTCTCTAACTTCCCTCTGATCAGACAGATATGCAGAGTATGCAGATGTTCAAAAGTTATTCTTGTAGATCAGTGTTCTTGTAGATTCTTAACCAGGGGGTCGAGGCCCGCTAGGGGGCTTCAACAAATGTTTAACATTTGTTAAACATTATTTAATTATAACAAAATTATTTAAAATGAGAAAAGGCGGACTTGGCGTTAGATTAAAAATAATATGCTGTGACCAAACTGGTGCAAACTCAAAAATTAAGTTAATAAAATATATATTTACAAGTCTTACCAAGTTGTTAAGATAATCTATTTTTTAAAAAGTAAATATATAAAGGTAATTGCAACTTTTTATCTCATGATTGGGATTGTTTTCAATTCCACGATATAAACTTACAATTGAGAAAAAAAGTCATAATGGTGAAATGTAAACTCAGAATTGTAAGGGGAAAAGTCTGAATTCGGACTTCTCACAATTCTGACTTTTACCCCCATGCTAATATGAGTCCACATCAGTAATTTCAAGCTTGGACTGCCATTACAATATGTATTTCCATTCAACACTAACGTAACTTTCCTGTTTAGAAATGTAATACTTCAATATTAAAATGTTGCCACGATTTTGCAAGATTTACAGTAACTTTAATTTCTTAGGTCATTACTTTTCACAACCCAAACATTAACTGAGAAATATAACATTAATGTTCATAATTGCCAGATGAGTTCACTGACTTTTGGAAGTCGAAGCATCAGTGTTTTCTCAGGCAAGGATCGTTCGGAGCGGGTTTCTCTCACTATTGTGAAATGGAAAACCCGAAATGGAGTAGGAGCAGAGCGTGATCATTACAGAACGCTATGAGCTGGTTGGGGAAATCACTCCCTTCCACTAATATATGCTGTTCCAGTCTGTACTTTGTTTGAAAATAAGTTACTCTATAATAATTACTTTTATAGAACTGTTGTACATTACGTTTATATACTGAAGATCAGCACGGTTGTGATTGCATACAGATATTCAGTATCAACACAGTGCGATACTGCTTGATTATGTAATATGGGGGGAAATATCTTCTTTTAAAAGACTGTTGGACCAGTCATAAAAATGCAGTTAATTCCTCATATTAAAAACATGAGCCCTCAAATCATTTCCTTGCATAAACAAGCATAACAGACGGAGGAGTTCCCAAAATCATCCTCCATGTCTCCTTAGTGCGCAGCCCCCTGAGATTCTTTTCTCCCGCTGCTGCAGCTCACGGCTGTTCAAACATTCGCGGTCTGTCTTTCTCCTCAGAGCGTCTCACCAAGAATGTCAGGCGTCTATGTCTAGGTTTTGTTTAAAGTCTGAATCTATTCTCTTTAAGTCTGAGCTCGGTTATCAAGGAGACCAAATAGGCATTTCTCAGTGTGAATATCCTTTGAGTAAAGTCAACATCTGAGTCTTCTGTCTCCGCGCTCGCCTTCAATCAATCTCGCGCTCCGCGGGCACGGGACTATCAGCGGTCCGCAATCTCCACATCTCCTCAGTGGGAATGGATACGGCGTCTTTGCTCTCTTTTAATCGTGAATGGACCCCAAAATAGACAAGTTTGGTCGATTAATGCTTCTGTTTGTTTTGACCGTCTTTTCCAGTTCTTTCACTGCGTTTTCTTGCTGGTACTAGACTCTAAACTTGTGTTTGGACAGGCAAAGAAAGGGAAATGATGGCAAAAGGCGGACTGGTTGTGCTGTTAGTTTTGTTGAATGTGCTTTTTATCCATACGGATGCGTTCAGAAGAGATACCGCAGAGAGACAGTGGAGCTCCGAGGGGGGTTTCTGCCGGATCTTGCGGACGCAGACGCGGGGCGCTCGGAGAGACGGACAGAACGAGTTTCGCCTCAGAGTTGAAGGAGACCCAGAAACTTACCAACCCGGGAGCACTTACAGAGGTTAGAGGTCACAAAATCTTGCTGTTTGGCCAATTTAAGAGGCGTTTAGTGCACCCCTGGGCAAAAACATAATGTTTGGAGTTTGTAAACATTGGTGCGTAAAACGTCATCTTTAGTGCATCTTCCACAAACCAGGTTGGCTGACACTAAAATGCTGAAAAGCGTTTCATATGGTGAATATGAGTACATATTGGAGAGAGTTTCGAAAAACGTATGTTTTTGGCATGTTTACCAAAGAGGACATTCGAATAATGGAGACTGGGAGTTTAACACATTGTCTTTTTTTGGCTGGATGCCTCAAATTTCGATGTAATATTCACAAATTTGTCTGCTTAAAGTAGGTTAAACGTACAACTTATAGCTTTACTGTAAATTAGTGTCAAGGATGAAAAGTGCTGTAGTTACAACACTGCCATACTATATAGAAATGTTCTATTGGATATTTTTAATTGATACTTTTGGCATGGATTTATTTTGATAATCACATTCATGTGTTCAAATCTCACTGCCATTTTATTTAAAACATTTTCATTCAAAACACTGAATAACAAATATAGAAATATTTTAAACTCTAAGCGTACGACCCTAACAAGTGTTGCAACTGTATTCTGTATTGTTTAGTCCCTTTTTTTAGTATAAAAGTGTGTTACAGCCACAATGTCTCGTCAGTCCTTCTATTTCTAGTTTTTTTATGTAGATTTAATATTGTCATACACTATGTCAAATGAAACCTGCTGATTCAGATGAAACCAGTTCTGCAATTTAATGTCCATTATAATTGGGTTTTCAATCATAATAATATGAAATTATACTTTCAAAATGTGTTTTTGTCCTATAAATCCTTTGTTTTCACACAGTTGATAGCTTTTACTGTCACCTTAGAAGGATCATGTTCATTTCTAACCGGTTAAACTGTTACAAACTGTTATTAACCAGTCCTTCCTACACAAGTGAGAATTAGTTCGAAAACATTACAACTGTTATTTTTCAGTATAACCTGGGTTATATTTGAATGTTTATGTGATAATTTACCTGTCAGGATAATTTTAATATCAAAACGCTCCATAACCTGATATTCACTGCAATTTGGATTTGTGTAAGTGGCCTTCATTAAGCAGCAGATGCCTTTTTATGAGGGTGTTATGCCCAGCGTGTTTGTACATGCATATGTATTCAACGCTCCATGTGAAAAGCACTTGCACAACCCACACACTTACATGCAAATGTACGTGCCAAATGCGAGAGCAGTTCGCGACTTGCCCTGGCACACTGTTGAGATCTGACCTACTGTTAAGCTCATTTCTGGTACCTCTGACCTATATTTTGTTCTCTCTCTCTCTATCCAGTGAGTTTGTATGCCTCCAGCCCATCTTACTTTCGTGGCTTTACCCTCATTGCTCTGAAGGAAGGAAGGGAGGGCGTCACTCCTGATGATTACGCTGGCACTTTCAAGGTGAGGGATTGCAGTGACCTCGTATAACCGCCTTGAACTGTGGCAGTCAAAGATGACAGTCTAATTGCAGTCTATGCAAAATTTGCAGTTTATGTTGGGTTGCTTCGGCACGTCTGTATTTAGACGTGGTATGTTTTAGGAAGAAAAATGATCATTAACCCTTTGATGCATGAAATAAATAAAAAAACACAACTTTCTTCAAAACAGCGTGATCATACACAATTTTTTTTATTCTTGCCCAAAATGTTAACTTGGTGCATCAGCACTTTTATTGGCCAGATTCATTTTATGTTGTCATTAAAAAAAAAAACATAAACAAACTAACATATAAAGAGGAAAGCTATGGAATTAATAATCATTGTATTCTTTTTGGTTGTGTGATCATTCCCAATCTTCTTTTTTTTTCAATCTTTCTTCTTCTTTTTTTTTAACCCAAAATTGTGTATTTTTGAGGTAATATTCCAGATGTACTTGGTGCATCAACACTTTTATTGGCCACTTTGATTTGATGTCGTCATTACAAAACACTAACATATAAAGAGAAAAGTAATATTATTGACTCTACAAAGTGGCTTTCAACAGCATATTTCTTGTTATTTTTCAGTCTTGAGTATCAAGTTTTCTTTAGACTTTTGGGAGACAAAATGTTTTAAAATATGTATATTAATATACTGTAGCTATATACTGTGTGTATATATATATATATATATAGAGAGAGAGAGAGAGAGAGAGAGAGAGAGAAAGAGAGAAAGAGAGTAATAATTATATTGCATTATTTTAATTATTATTTATTTATGTGATCATCTTTTTTTTTTCTTCACCCAAAATTATGCATTTTGAGATAATATTCCAGGGGTACTTGGTGCATCAACACTTCTGTTGGTGGTCTTTGATTTTATGTTGCCTTAAGTAAAAAAAAAAACACTAACATATAATGAGAAAAGTTATGGAATTAAAGGTCAAAGGAAATCACCCCTGATTAGATAAAAATGGCTGTAGTGGACATCATGCATCAGAGGTTTAAGTGTTTTAAGGATTTCAGATCCATCTTTTGCCAGCAAGCAGTATTGTGTGAAGTAGTCTCAGACATGCTGCTCCTCATTGGTAACACACTGACTGTCTCAGAGCCGTGTCCTCTCTGAAAGACAGGACCCCTATCATTTAGTGCTCTCCACATCAAGCCGCAGTGCTTCCCAGACTGAAGCAGGAAGGCTTTCTCCCCCCAGATCTCATTAGCTGTGGTCGGCGCTCTGCACTCCTTACCACTGTGTTTTTCAGTGCACAGATTGCCTGGTGGATGTTAGCAGACATTCTCTGTTGAGGTCTTTAACTGGGGATTCTCGTCTTGACAGACTAAATTGAATGAACGAAAAACACAACAAAGGCAACTGCAAAAGGACAAGAGACAAAATGACAAAAGCCGTGGGTTTGTTCTAAATGTATATGGAGCAATGACGAAAAATGATGTTCGATGTGTTGAAAATGAAAATTCTTTTTAAAATGTTCAAAACACAAGTGCAATTTTTTTTAGAAATGTAATCTTTGTATTCATTTTGGTTTCATAAATTTTAGATTTTTTTTATAGTTTATATATTTTTATAGTTGACTCTAAAAAGTGGCTTTCAGACACTGTTCATGGCATTTGTTTGTTTGTTTTGCAAGTGAATCATGTATTTATCTTAGGGTTACACCATTTAGTCTTGACTTGCGTTTAAAAAAGTCGAAATATGACTATACACAGTCTACAGGAGTGTTCTCTGTAAAATAATTTCATGTTTTACATTTTTATTGTCTTCCTGTGTGTTGGTTATGCCACACTGCCTTAGTATATAGACATATACATAATATATATATATATATGTGTGTGTGTGTGTGTGTGTGTGTGTGTGTGGATTTAATGTTACAGTATATTTCTGTAAATTGCTATTTTATTTGAAACCTGATTTTTAGTATTTTGTATAGAAATATTAACCATGAAATATACTTGAATTTTACTTGAATATTTTTTTTTACTAGAATTCAGAAATGTAAAATATTTTTCATTCAAGTTCTTTATTTTACTGAAGCCCTGTTTATATTTTTTGTATAAAGTATTTTTGAATGGAATAGTCCAGGATTTAAAAAGTGAGCAGCATCTCGTTTTTTTATATTTATATATACAATATATTCTGTGATATAATGTCTGAGAGAAACATTAACGTGTCCTCTGTAGTATAATGACACAATTTATAACATGAGAATCTATTTTTACAAGCCCAAGTTTAGCAGGGAGCTCGACCCATTTATTAGGTTGCTCTTGTGTAATGTAATTTTTGCCCATTGAAAATGATTGCATTCGCATTTGCTGGGTGAAGCTTTAAATCTATGAGATGTTCATTCTACTTCAGTTCAGTAATTTGATCAATGACTTGACCGTGACCTGCATTATCTCCAGGGTAAAACCTTTCTGGGTGTTTTCTGCATTACATTTTGCTGTTTCATTGAAGTGTTTTAGATGTTAAACTCAGAAAAGTTTTCGTTTGCAGACGTAACCTCATTCCGAGTTGTTTGCTACCCATGTCTGTTAACCGTGGCTTTCAAAATATTCATATTCATCAGTCATCATGACAGTTCATATACAAAGCTGTTGCACTTCTTATGCTACCACGAATTGACAAACAACTCTCAAGCCAAACCAGCAAGGTCGAAATAAGCATCATGACATCTCGCCATTCGTTTCACTTAATCTCTCCAAGGAACCACTTGAAGACGAGACGTCCCCAATTCCTTCAGGAGGCGTGGTTATTCACTCAAGCCACGGAGTTTTGTGCTTGCGAGAGAGACAAACTGAAAGAGGGAGAGTTTAAGAGAGCAAACAGAAAACTGCTTTCGCTGTCCCTCAGGAGCAGGGCCACACAGTCTCGCCAGAAGCCACAATTAAAACAAACACGCCTCTCCTCTCCTCTGTTTTGTACAACTTTCCCCCAGCTGGTTTGCAGCATTTTTAAGGCAGCCACTTACAGCCCCTTTTTACCCAGGAAACAATGCACCGGGCTGCTTGGCCTGCATGGCCTCTTTTAAAATAAACACTTGGAGAGCGACTGTTGCACAGTCCTACAGCTCAAGCATATCTTTACAAAGTTTAGCTGAGTTTCCCTATCAATTCAGAAGTTTCCGGTTCACTGTTTTGTTTTTAGTCTGAACAAGGGTGTGACAAAGTTGCTTAAGATGCCAAAATTGCAGCTTTTACTTTCTTTGCAGAAATGAAGGACAGAACCAGAGGATACTGTGTGCAGATTTGGGTTTGCATGACTGTATGTGTGTGAAAGAGTGGGAAGTGGAAATGGAGAGAACGAGAGAGAGTGAGAAAGAGGGAGGAAGAACTTAATGCACCACGCGCATGGATTTTACTCTTCGATGGACATTTGGCAGCGATTTCGTTTTGAAACATGCAAACAAAATTGTGCTTTTCCATCCCCACTGGAATTTTCCATCACTTGGACAATGTGATTTTACAAACAGTAGCTTTAATATATATCTGGAAGACATATATTACATGTACTCCACTGGAATTTTCCATCACTTGGACAATGTGATTTTACAAACAGAAGCTTTAATATATATCTGGAAGACATATATTACATGTACTTTTATTTATTTATTTATTTATTTATTTTTAACTTATAAAAATGTGCAAAAGTACATATGGGACAAATAATAATAATTATATATATTTTTTTAGCTCTTTTCTATAAATTCTAGGGTGAATTTACTAAATGGTTTTGCATGAGGTATTTCAGGGCTCATTTATTAAGCACTCAAAATCTCATTCAACCAGACAGTGACTGTTTTTTGCTGTCATTCTTTTTTAGCATAAATACACTACGTTCTTTGTAAATTAGGCTTATTATATAACTTTTTTCACAAAGCTCAGTGCTCTTTGGCGCAATTCTCTTTACAATATTACCGCCTGAGGAAAGCGAGTGATTAAACAATGTTATAAAAATGGAAGTTTAAAATACATTTTTAGTTATAATGGAAGCAGTAATTCATCGAATGATGACCAAATGATAAAGAAGAGCGTTATAATCAGGCGTTTAATCAACATTTTAAAAAGCCAATTCATGTGTGTGGATTAGAGCAGTGCATTTTTCTCAATTACTGATTTTTTTTTAATTTTTTTTTTCAAAAGTTGCAACAAATGTTGAAGGGCCTAGTAGATAAGTGTGTCAAGATGTTGCCTCGTGGGTTATCATGAGCTCTAGGTTTAAGTAGCACAGAACCGTCAGTTACAAATATTTGTCCTCTGCACTGAAAGATGTTGAAAGGGCTGTCATGTACAGTTAGTCATCTTGGCCCACAAAATGAAATTTGATTCTACATCACTGAGCTCATTTACGGTACTAGTTTACTGTTTATTTGGAAACTGTTGCATAATTGGACTAAAAAAATGAAATTAATTAGATTTTTGGAATTCTGAATGCCATTTGTTTTTGTTTTATTTCCAAGGCTCTCCTAAAAATGAAAATTATTTACTCATCCTTGTGATGTTTCAAATGTGTATGCTCTTATTCTGCCATGGAACAAAAATGACATTTCATAGTGTATAACAGTCTGTGTAACTTCATAAAAGTAAAAGAAAAAATGAATAAAATAAAAGTGGTCCACATGACTAGGTGCACTATATTTCAAGTCTTTTAAATGATACTGTAGATATTTATGCTATATACTACTACATTAAAAAGTTTTAGCTGATTAAAAATGTCAATACAAACATTTATGTTACCGAAAGATTTATTTCTGTTCTTTCTATTCCTCAAATAAATCTAAAAAAAAGTATCATAGTTTCCACAAAACATTAAGCAGCAGATCTGTTTTCAGCATAATAATAATAATAAGAAATGTTTCTTGAGCACCAAATCAGCATACTAGAATGATTTCTGTAGGATCATGTTATTCTGAAGGATCTTATTATTTACATCACAGGAATAAATTACATTAAATACATTATATAAAAATAATATAATATATTATGTTAAATATAAATTTTATAAATATGAAAAAAACAACAGCTTTTAAATTATAATAATAATATTGCACAGTTTTACTGTTTTTTTTTTTTTTTGATCAAATGAAAGCAGCCTTGATGAACATACGAGACTTCTTTTAAAAACATTAAATAAGTTACAATGTTCCCTGTTCCACAGCTTATTGATGAAAGTGACACGCAGTTTATGACCAACTGCCCCCCGGCCGTCACAGAGAGCATTCCCAGAAGACGCACAAGGATACAGGTGTTCTGGACAGCGCCACCTTCTGGCAGTGGTTGTGTCACTCTCAAGTGAGTTATTGTATTATTTTTATTTTTACTATTATTCTGGTCTTGGATAGCAATAAATGAATGAGAAGAATCCATGGATTTAGGCTGATAGATGAAAGTCTGTGGTACTGAACTGATAGATTGTTGAATAAATAGAAAAGAAAACAGACAGAACAGGGGGTACAGTCTGGGGCTCTATACTGAGTTTAGTGTCTAGAATACAATACTGAGTCTTGAGTGCTTGTCTCATTTAGTCAGTGTTTTATCAGTCACGTTCTGGGAAAGTATTGAAAAAGGAAAACAGTCTTTTCCAATAATATCTGAAGCCGAGTAAACAGAAATAAATTTAGGGCCATCGATAGAAGATGTGATTATGATTGACTGATGTTGGGCAGTTATTGTATGTTAATCTTGAGCCATTGAAATTGCCCTTGAGTGGTCCCATCATCTGGAGGCTGCGAATCAGATGATTATGAAAATTTAAAAAAGCTTTGAAAGCTTTAAAATATTCTGAGAATCCAAACAACATCCTCCCACTTGAGTTCCCTTTACATACAGCAAGCGCACAAGCACACAACAGTGGTCTTCAACCAAACAAAATCTGAATTATCTGTCGGTGTTGTGGTGTTTCCACTCCACCCCCTCATGCTTTCATGCTGTCTTCTCCCACTCCTTTTGAGGTTATAAACAACTTTAAGTGTGTTTGATGCATTAAAGACATCTGAAAGTCTCTCTTTTCGCTCCAAGTTGGACACGTTGCGGTGCGTATATGCATTTTTCAACATTATGGGTGCCAACCCTCAAAACACCCTTTACAACAACTCTCACTTTCTGAAAGCCTCTGAATGCCACTCTGTTGGCCTGTTTACACTTGTTGTGAACCAGTGATGTCTATAATACCAGGAAAAAGCTATCCGTTAACATTCTCATTCATTTTAATGTGAAGTATGCCATTTGATATCTGCCAGTTTTGCTCATGGACACTCAGTTCTGGACTGTTTTTGAGCCAATCACCTGAGCCCTTGAAGAGCTTCAAATATTGTAAGCGTAACGTGCTTGTCTGACATGCAAGAACCAATGAGTTTTGTTCTCACGTGTCACGCAAACCCGTTTGAGGTTCCACAAGAACCAGTGAGATGTGTTCTTGTGCATCACGCAAGCACATTTGAGGTTTCGCAAGAACTAATAAGGTTTGTTTTCATATGTCATGCAAGCATGTTTGAGGTGTTTCAAGAACCAGTGAGGTTTGTTCTCACGTGTCAAGTTCGGTCATGCAGTTGTGTCTCTTCAGAAGACCTGCACTGTGTCCAAATATGCCTACTTCCATACTGTATAGTAGGTGAAAAACAGTGTGTGAAAAGAGTAGTATGTCCAAAAAACAGTCGAAAAGTACCCGGCTGACCTACTACTTTTGCCGAGATTCTGAAGTGTGCATGGATACTCAATGGACACTTTATTCATACCACCCAAATTAATAAAACTATATAGAACATATTTTTTTTAACGGATATGAAGTAATTTTTAAATCAAATGTAGTATCTACTAGACATTATGCGATTTTGAGCGCAGATTTGGATTATGCCGCTCGATTCATATGGATTACTTTTACAATGTCTTTATGAACTTTTTGAAGATTTTTCAAAGTTTTGGTGGAATGGACTTTCGATGGAGAAACAGAAATCTCTCAGGTTTAAATATAAGGTTCAAATATCTTCATGTGTGTTTCGAAGTTGAATGAAAGTCTTCTGGATTTGAAATCAAGTGAGGGTGAATAATTGATGACAGAATTTTCATTTTTGGGTAAACTTGCAACACAATCACATGGTAATTCATGTCTATTTTACATTTGGGGAATTGGTGGCTAATTCATAATTTGTACAATCTCATTCATACACTGAGATGATCTGCTTACGCCCCAGTGACTTATATTTAGGTTTAGGGTCAGGGGTGGATCATGCTTACATTTTTTTTTTCTACAAATTTTACATTTTCATACAATGTTAATACAAGATTGCCATATTGTAAAATATTTGTTTTCTCGTGAGATCTGGTTGGAACTAAACCTTTAAACCCTTTGTTGTAGTGCAATGGATGATTGACAGTTGAGTAGGCAATCCATAATATTTTCACAGTATTTCAACAGGTTTGTGGCTTGAACTTTTTTCCATTGAAACAGTGCATCTAAAAGTGATGCAACTGCTTAAATGAGCCCCTGAATGTCTTTTTAGTTTACTTAGTAAAGCAGATTTTAATCTGCTTGTGTAGCAGTTGTGAAATGAAATTGATGTAGAGACAATTATAACCTTCACAGTATGAGTATTTATGAGCTAGCGTCCTCCTGCACGGTTTTCTCATTCTCTCCTGTTCTCTTTCTATCACCCACTTACTCATTCATCCTTTTCATCCCGTCTCTGTCCCCCTGTCCCCTGTCTTTTTTTAACTTCTCAAAAAGGATAGCAGTCTCTCCTTCACCTCACTTGGAACCCATATAACCTACCCAGGTCTCGTCTCCGTCCATCTGTGAACTCAAGGAATTATTATTGTAGCTTTTAATTTACCCATCTGTCTTATTAGGGCAGGGATGTCTGTTTTTTTCCAATAAACATTTTCAGGGAAGCATCTGCTGTGCCAACGTGAATCTGAATCTGCTGTCACTTTGCCTTGGCGTGTCAGAACCGTGGAGACATTGCACCTTGTAGCACCGGGCCGAATGCCAGCGCTCAGGCTCCGAAACACTACTGGCAACAGCGCCCAATGAACATCAAATAAAAGTGCAATTACATCTGGAATCCCTCCAGCACTTTTCTAGTGAAATGTCAAACAGACCAGGGATTGGAAGGAAGTTTTGATCTGGATTTTGTTTCCTTTGATTCTTTGGTGCCATCAAGCTGTGGAAGGCAGTTAAGATGTGGTAGACATGATGGTTTTGTTGACAAGCTTTGGTACTCTGAAGATAAATGGCTTAGATGAGACGATCAAGACCAAATACCAACAGAGGAGACGTCTTAAGAAGTTTTGAGAAGAATGGATCAAGACTTGAGCAGTCATACTTAGTTGACCACTGTTAAGGGTCCATGAACATATGTGTTTGGATTACAGGCATAACCTGTGATTTGTCACATAAATATTCTACAAACATTCACATTTTTTCTCTGTATGAGACAATTTATTGCCATCAGTATTGTTTTGCACATATGTGACCCTGGACCACAAAACCAGTCTTAAGTGTAAATTTTTCAAAATTGAGATTTGTACATAATCTGAAATCTGAATAAATAAGGTTTGTTAGGATAGGACAATATTTGGCCGAGATACAACTATTTGAAAATCTGGAATGTGAGGGTGCAAAAAAATAAAAATAGTCAACTGTCAAACAGTGCGCTACTCTGCAGTAGTTCAATAATATAAATATATCTTATGATTTGATCCCACTTTGTTTACTTTATTTTAGCTACTAACCTAACAACAAAATCGGGTGGCAATTCGTTTTGTTTCTTTTGCATTGTGTTTGCAGTGAAAGGGCCATGAAGAGGAACAGCATTCAAGGTTCTTTTCTATGTCAAATTGGGTTGTTACTCAATTTCTGAAAATGCAATTTGTAAAGCCCAGATGAGCCAAAAATCTGTCATATTCCAGACACCTTCACATTTTAATAAGGCCAGCACCAGATTCTCTTGTAAGCCACCCACATAAAACATGTGGGATTATTCTCAGGAGGGCATAGCGTTATGGTCAGACCTACCGCATGCCACATCCTTGACTGACAGCAACGGCAATGGGCTCTAGTGGGACAGTAGCAGGACTCGCCATTGATATTCCACATGGGTCGATTTAAGCTGAGTGTGGCTCAGTCTCTGGGGTACTCCATCAGCGGCAGCTTTAAAAGAGATTCAAACCTCCACCGCCCCCTGAACATAGATGGTACTCTTGAATACATTTGCTTTTTCCTCCAACTCTTGCTAAACATATTGACATCAGTTGATGTCTCTATATGGCTTCATTTTAAAAGCCGAACTGTTTAAAGCATTCAGGATACTGACTGGAGTCATTGAAATATGCTCTCGGGTAGTAGCATTTTGCAAATGTAGCATTATGCGCGGAAGCCTTTGTTAAAAAGATGCATTGTCTGTTCCCACTACAATACAATTTTGAGTGCGATAATGGTGGTACAGTAAATGTAAAAGCGCACTTTCTCAGAACTATATCTAAAAGACAGACAAAAGGCAGAAAAAGTTGGATGAACATTGTATTGTCTTCATTACAGGGCCAGTGTTGTACAGCGAAGAATCATTTTCTTCCAAGATGAGGGCTCACTTACCAAAAAACTCTGCGAGAAAGGTAATTTTTAAAGCTGAGTTTCTCATGCACATCCCCACTGATAGCATTTTTAAATCTACAAAGTTTATTTTTTTTCCTGGCATGAACAGACCTCTTTTTCTGTCATCTGTTTTTGATGTTTCTAAATAAAATATGCCTTGTAAATGGTTGTGTTTATTCATTCCACATCAATTTTTGTATGTTTAATGTTTATATAGAGTGTGTGTGGAAGGAGGCAGTTAAATGCACATGTGCATTGTTATGTGACAAGAAAAGGAGAAACGTAGATTCTCAGCAGTTGGTTGAAAATAAGGATGTAAAATGGAAATAATGGACACAGTGCAATTGAAGTTAAATAACTATCATCTTCTGAACGTTGCAGATCCAGCTGCGATGACTGAAAAACCCATGCAAGAGTGCTGTGCTTGTGGAACAGCCAAGTATAGAGTCACTTTCTATGGAAACTGGTCTGAGAAGGTGCATCCCAAAGACTACCCAAGTAAGAACAAACCCTTTGTGACACATGAGCACAATACTCGCATCAGTGTTGCTATTGTTAATTAAAACAAACATTTTAAAAGTGTTCATTTATTGAAATAAAGCTGGAATAAAGTAGAAATATTAGAGAACTTCAACTTAAAAAGCTTAACAATCAAAAAGGGTGCTAAATGAAATGTTTACATTGAAGTACTAAAATGACTAAAGATAAAACTAAAATGAATGTAAATTAAATATAAACAGAGATTATATAAAAAAAAAACTAATAAAAATAACAAAAGCACATACAGTAAAAAATTTAGTACAATTAAAATGAAAACTAATATAATAAGCTAATTCAAATTAATAAATAACATTAATAAATCAACAGATTAACATGATTCAATATTATATTAAATATTATATTTTAATATAATATGATCACATTGTGAGGTACATTGTGCTAGGGTTGTGCAGTATACTGCCTATAAAACACATTTATTTGTCATACAGCTGTATGATATCTTCATTTTGCAAATTATGGTACCTTACCTGGTATTACATTTTTACAAGTTTGGCATTCATTACTGTTTCATTTTGTAATTTGTGACCATGGACCACAAAACCAGTCATAAGGGTCAATTTTTTTAGATTTACACATCATGCATCTGGAATCTGAAGGTGCAAAAAAATCTAAATATTGAGAAAATCGCCTTTAAGTTGTCCAAATGAAGTCCTTAGCAAAGCATATTACTAATCAAAAATGAAGTTTTAATATATTTATAATAGGAAATTTTACAAATATTTTCATGGAACATGATCTTTACTTAATGTTCTAATGATTTTTGGCATAAAAGAAAAATCAATAATTTTGACCCCTACAATGTATTTTTGGCTATTGCTACAAATATACCCCAGCGACTTAAAAGACTGGTTTTGTGGTCCAGGGTCACATTTATCTGTACTATAAATCAAATAAAATGTAGATGTGATGCTGAAAATTTTGTGATTAATTAGTGTGAAATGTAAGTATATGAAAGTAAATGAAATGTAAGAAATTAGCTATATTATCAAATCACTGGAGATTTGCATCAAGTTCAGTGTTTGCATTTTCCATGTTCTGTTTCATTTTGAAATACCGGTAAGTGTTTGAAATCGTCCAGCATCTTTATAAGTGTAAAGTGGCAAAGATTTACACACTCATATTTTTTTTTAATTAATTGCAAAAATGTAGTTTTAACAGTCAGGTACTACAATTGAGTTTTAAAGAGCACTGAAAACACATTCTTGATATATTTTGATGCCACGCTGATTTTACATCTCAAACTTGAAAATCTTAACAAAGTGGCTTGTAGAAAGAGTGAGAACATGGGCAGAGGTGGCCAGCAATCTCTTTCTCCTGCAGCTTTAGCTCTCAGGGCTGGTTTGCTAATATAGCAGTCAGCAGGAGAGCTGGTTAATTTCCTATGTGTGTGGCAGCAATGATCTAATCTGTTATTTACTGTCTGGCAAGCAGGCAGGACTACAGCCTGGACTGTGATACTTTGTGAGATAAGAGAAGCCGGGCGGATGTTGTCTCATACCGCACTGCTGCTAGTTAATGGGTCTGTGGAAACAGACGGTGATGTATGCGGTAGGCTCCTTAAAGACAGACAAGAGTAGAGGCTTAGATTTTGAAGATACACAGTAGAGAACAAGTTACTTCAGAAGTTATCTGGGAGGATTTAACATTGTATTAAGCTGTAGCTTGAAAGATCTGTTATTTGTTCACCACTGTTGTTTCTGTCCCAAAGGACGTGCTAATCATTGGTCGGCTCTCATTGGCGCGTCTCACTCGAGAAGCTATATGTTATGGGAGTATGGAGGTTTCGCCAGTGAAGGAGTCAAGCAGGTGGCTGAGTATGGATCACCCGTCAAAATGGAGGAGGAGATTCGACAAAAGGTAGGCCTTCTGGCTAAGTGTGACGAGATGAGATATCAGGATCAGACAGATACAGTTCAGCTTGAAAGCTAGCGTTGAAGTAATTGCTCGACTTTCAGACCAAGATGTCCTTTTCTTGGAAATAGCAGCAGTTTATCCGACAGAGATTGAATTAAAAAAAATTTCATTGGCCAGGATTAGGCTCATTACATTTCTGATGCTTTTTCAATTTGCTGTTTGTTCAGGATTATTTTAAACCTTGACAAACTAACTAAGGGATGAATCTGAATGAATAAATCTTTTTAAGTGAATAAATCGTTCTCTTCTCTTCCACTGACGCTGAAAATCTCCCTTGTGAAGTGCATCACTGCTTTGGTTGCTTGATAAAAGTCAGCTCTAGTCGACAAAATGGAGGAAAACAAATCAGCTTTATTGTCTTTGTTCATGAAAGAGCTTATTGTGCTTAAAAGCTATTTCTTCATCTTTTAGCTGACTTGAAGACTTATAAAGTTTAATAAGGCATAACTAAACTCGTTTTGGGTGTGAATGACTCACTGATTCAATGATTGATTCAGTGACTCACAATAGATGAAACATTTGTTTGAAATGATTGTTTCAGGCTAATGATATAATTTACAGAAAGAACAAATCTTATTGGTGAATGGAATCAAAAGATTTGAGTCACTGGAATTAATCAAAATCCCCAGTATAGAAGCAATGCTCTTGCTGAAGTTTTTCCATCAAAAACCATTAGCTTACTTATTGCTTTCACTCCATCAAAAGTTGCTTGGCACTCATTTTATGTTTCTGAAGTTCCCCACGCACTCATGGCGTCGGAAATAACATGTCAAAGGTTGATCAGTTAATGGAGGGTTCTCCCTAGCATCTTAATTAAACACATTAGTCAGTATCAGCTAATCTTCACATTGCTGTAATTTAATGTTAATTTCCGCCTCTTGAAAGATCCGTTAGCCATTGCATGCAGTCTGAGACGAAGGTCATTTAGCAGCTTTGTAGGAAGATGTGTGTAGTATAATTCAGCGTTAACACGACGGGCTGCCTCCATGAGGATTTTAAAGGTCGCCTGGGAAAGGTTCATACCCTAGATGTTCCCATTTGTCTTTTGCACAATGCACTGTAGGTGGATTTGCAGTGCACATCTTGGCACATCTCAGATTGATGATCACAGAATCTTTTCGGCTTCACCCACATGCAAATACGACAGACATTTTGTTTTGGACAAATTAATTTCAAATCAAGTGTTGGGTGTGTATTATAAATATAAATATAATGTAATATTATATATTTATTATATTACGAATAATGAAATATTATATATTAAATTAAATTTTTTAAGATAGATAGATAGATAGATAGATAGAAAAACGATTTAACATTTAATTATTCGTAATATAAAAAATATAGAATGAATATATTTGTATGCATATGTGTGTGTATACATAAACGCACAATATATATACATTTTATTTGTGTGTGTGTGTGTATATATATAAACACACAGACATAATATATATATATAGAATAAAGAATAATGAAATCAAAAATATTAGTAATGCAAGATAAAATTTTGTTCTTTATTTATATAAATATTATATATTATATTAATATATGATGTTTTACTAAATCAAACATATTTTTGCATCATTGCAGTATCAAAATAAGAAAGATGATTCACTTCTGAGTACTAGATCATAAGATGTCTCATCAGTTTTCATTTTTCACATTTTTCAGTTTTCATTTTTGTTTTTTGTTGATTGTTTCGGGGCATGGCTGACGAATTTACCCACGATTATTTATTGATTTGTGCTACAGGCACTTTTGTGCTGTCAACATTTGTTTTGTTTGGCATTGCAAACAAGTGCATTAAAAGTCCTGTCTACACAGTTCTTCCAACAGACCAGAAAAATCACAAGTAGTTTAAACAAGTTACACAATGAAAAATCAATATTAAAAATACAAAGGCACATAGTGCAAGAACACCAAGGCACAATACAAAAGTGCAGTATAAGCCACCGGCCAAATAGAGCTACTTTTTATTATTCCTTTTTTGAAGCTGTCAGCTGTCTGTCATTCCAGAATTTATTTTGTTTTCTTCTGTCTTGTCCCTTTATTTTACAGCTCTTTTGTGCTTTCAGGGCTTTTTCCACATGCTTGATCTCCGCTCTGATACTTTTGGTTGGTTTTACCTGACATGATCATTCATCTTTTGAGGTAGTGCGGACGCTTTGTAACCCCAGTAAAGGTGAATCTGTCTGCAGGGGCCCTTTGAACTGATTTGCTTTGTGGCAGTTTTTTACTTAGTTTTAATTTGATGTGCACTATGCTGTTTGACTTTAAAGAGGTAGTTCACTCAACTAAATGAATTCTGTCATCATTCACTCACCCTCATTTTAATCTAAACCTTTGATTTTTAAATTTTTTTTCAGTGAGAAATTTAGATGTTTAACACAATGTTCACACTGTTCTTTTCTATACAATGAAAGTAAATTGCAGACTAGAGGCTGTCAAGCTTTAAAAATGACAAAAATCGCCATAAAAGTACCATAAAAATGGTCTTGCAATATAATGAACAAGTCATATAGATTTCCTTTATGATATTTTTATGGTACTTTGTGGTACTTCTTGATAGCCCCTGGTCACTATTCACTTTCATTGAAAGGAAAAGAGCATTATGGACATTTTTCTTTTTTGGGTGCTCTATTCCTTTAACATGTTTACATTTGTAATGCAGTATAGTTCGGATCATTTTAAAGCTTTTAGCATAAAATGGTATTTCAGACTTCTTTAACGTATAATTTTCCCTGCTGTTCGCCTAGAGGAAGCAGCTTCCAGAAACATTGCAGCGCTACTGTAAAATCAGTCATCAAAGCCTTTTCCAAAAACCATCACAGTCATTTACTGTCAATTTTGGCAGGCATCATTTCACCATTACGCACATTACTTTCGGGAAAGCAATCGCAGAACATTCTCAGCAGAAAAGAGCCGTGCAGATAAATATTTCAGTCGTAGATCACGTTGCTGCAGCTGAGTCTTTTCTGAATGCCAAATTGCGACAATAGACAGGAGTAAGTAATACGTATTCAACAACATTGCAGAGAAGCTTACAAGCATTCTTTTGTAAGTGTGGACTAGCACAATTTCCATCAGTATTTCATTGGAATCTCAAAACCTGACCTTAAAATGAGTGAGAAAATAATCCTATAATGAGCTAACGCTTATAATAGGCTAAAACAAAACAGCTTTGCATTAAGCCAGAAATATCGCTCGAGTGATAAATTATACTATTATCTTGTTTACGACTGCTTGTTCAATGGCTCTACCTTGTAGCACTACAAAGTCAAAAGGTCTTTTAAAAGCTGTAATTTTCTTTTCTGTAGCTGCCGCATAGACTGAGATGTAATCTTTTTCTAGTCTTTTTTTTATTGCCAGACCGCGGAATTCAAATCATCTCTTTCCCACTCTTTTTTTATGATGATTAAAATATGTAATTTTCATTTCTCCCAGAGTCCCCTGGTGAATTTTGACCTTGAGCTTACGGTTCACATTTCTACAGACACGTTTAACTTGGAATAAAAATTTGGAATAGCATTATAACATGCTTCAGTTGGTTAATGAGGTGAACATCATGATTACAGAGGTGTCATAAAACTGACTCTAGGAAGGTCATGCAAGCTTTTGGAAGATCTCAGACGTTGACAAACACAGTAAGTTAGGAGGTTCTGAGGCAATTTCTTAGCATTTGTTATCCCAACTTAGCTGTTATGTCATTATGAATCGTATTATCATCTCATCTCGGCGATGATATATTTATCCCACAATCTATCAAAAGCACAGTGTGAGGCAAATGGGAAAGTGAATGAAATGTGTGTTGCAATGAAGCTTTCCCTGAAGAGGACAGGATGCTTAATGCTTTATGAGCACTACGATATACATAACTGTGAAATTTCCATTTGTACTAACAGTATGGAAGCTCTCTATTTACATGCTAAATACACCGCGAGAATCTTTATTGTGCTGTATAGGTGGGTGTTTGTTTGTGCCTCTTAGCAGTCTCCATTAATTATTGTCTGCATGTGCTAATTAAACATTGCAGCATTGATATGAATTTGATGTTTAGTTTTTGCTGACCCACTAAACATGAAGTGCTTCTTTCCTTCTTTTTTTTTAACTGTCAGCTGAAGCTGTGAAGCGTCTACTGTCATAACTGGTTTTCGGTCTATTTCCCTGTGTACGTACACTACAAATTCAAAAGTTTTTTTTTTTTTTTGTAAAATGTTTTTGAAAAAAGCCTCGAATGCTCACCAAGGCTACATTTATTTGACACAGTAAAACTGCAATATTGTGAAATATTATTTTAATTAAAAATAACTTTTTTCTAATTTTATATATATATATATATATATATATTTTTTTTTTTTTGTATTTATTTATTTATTTTTAAACCAAAGCTGAATTGTCATAACTTGTCTTTAGTGTCACATGATCCTTCAGCAATCAGTCTAATATACTGATTGGCTGCTCAAGAAATCAGCATTCTTATTATCAGTGTTGAAAATAGTTGTTCTGCATAATAGGTTTTGGAATAATCAAACAATCAGAATTATTTGATGAACAGCATTTATAGAAATATTTTGTAACATTATAAATGTCTTTAATTCAGCAAGGATGCATTAAAATGTTTTTTACTTGCATATATGATCAATATGTCAGTATATATCATCATTCAGAGGAATGTAGCACCACAGTGTTAGCTTTTTTTTCTCTTTTTTTTTATAGTTGTCTGTGCATATTAAGGGCATTTTAACATAGAAAAAAAGGACAGCCTTCAGGTTCAAATTAATTCATTTGATGCTAATTCTTAATAAAGATACTATATTTTTCTCTTACTCAGTTTCTCAAGAAGAATCACAACTGATTTGCATTCTTTTAAAAAGTGTTAATGACAGCAATTTTGAATTTGAACGTATGCACATTGTGTTAGCCTGAGATACGTTTCTAGC